TTAAATGAAATAAGCTTACCAAGTCAACAAATCCAAAGCCACAAATTTTCTGTTTCAGTTAGCAGTTGCCCCCTATGTCCTTTTGATAGACTTGTTTGTGTGTTTGTGTGTGTTTGTGTGTGTTTGTGTGTGTTTGTTTGTGTGTGTTTGTTTGTGTGTGTGTGTTTGTGTGTGTGTGTGTGTGAGGGAGTCCTGCAGTTAACAGATTGTGGCTGGTTGTGTTTACAGGAGGCATGCCAGCTCCTGAGCAGACCTCAGTGACAGAGGAGGGGCTGATGCTCAGATCTTCCAACGCAGGCATGGAGTCAGAGAGCACAGCCACCAACATTCTTGCTTCAGTCAAAGAGCAGGTATGTCAAGCTACTATCCAAATACAGTCTTAATTCACCAGACTTGATGCTGACCCCAAACTTGTACATTATGGGTCTGGCAAGAAATATTTTTTTCTAAGTTTTAGAATGCTTTTTTTTATACCCACCCAACAATGAAATAGCCACTTATGTGCTTACCAGTTCTCGCCGCACAGCTATGAACAGCACAACAGCACAACTGGGGAGATTGAGGAAGTGTATTGAGCCAGCCAATTTAGAGCCACTTGTTTATTAACATGTGGAAAACACCTCCATACTGGAAGTGCAGTGTTGATTGGAGGAGAGGCCTGTCTCTCGTCGATAGCACAGTATGCCTGCAACCACCAGGGAGGTTGCAGGGGACACCACCTCACAGAGAGAGTTCTGGAAAACTACTACAACTACCCCCGGCAGTGCTCAGCTGGTCACAGTTGGCTAGTGATGTAACCTTTGATTACAGAGCTCAACCTGTGCTTGGGCGAGTGGCTTTCTTTTTAAGCCACTCAGGAGGCCCCAGGCAAGAAACATTTCTGATGTTGGATTGGTTTTTATAGCAGTGGCAGGGCCTGTGTTAAATTAAAATCTCAACTAACCTGCCAATCCCAAAATAAAAAAGCTCAGTGGGGAATTTTTTGTTTGGCTAATGCTTATTGATTCTGCCCAGATGAAACCCACCATTTATTACTGTATTTCTCATTTTCTATTACCAGGTGTGATCTGTTTCATTTTAATCTGGCCAAGGTTTTTTTTTTTTTAAACTTGGATGTTTGTGTTTTTATTTGACCAATTTTGTGTATTTTGATTTGTCCCTGGGAAATAGTGAGCTAGCACTTTTTATGATAGTGGTACTACACTTAGTTTTTAAACACTCTAGCATACTGTACTATTGCACAGACGATTACTGTCATAGGCTTTTTCTCAAAGGGGATTGTACTGCATTTGTTTATTGTGGTGTGTGCGCTATCCAAGAACTATCAAATTAAAACCTTGAAATTGTTCATTTTTAGTAGAAAAAGTGTGTGAGTGTCATGTCCTTAGTTCGGCAGCAACTCCCTTCCTGTATGGCTGTTTGCCATGACTTGGAATGCCCCAACATCTATTGTTTACTCACGTCAACAGGAAGTGTGTTCCACTGGAGAACACCTGTTGATGTAACTTCCCTTTATGGAATTATACGCCACAAGTTTTCACCATGCTCCGTGTTTAGCTGTGGAGGGCTCCACAGTTAAATCTCCTAAATGAGGACACAGTGTAATGCGTGATAGGGAATTGTTGTTTTTGAGACTGTAAATGAGTTTCAGTCTATGGATAAATTCTTGAATTTGGATAGACTGGAGGAAACGGGGTGCAACATGAAGGTCGCCTGCTTTTCTGTAGGAGTGTTTTTTTCCAGAGGCTTTCCTGCAATTGTAAAAAGACACGCATTCGAAGGATCTTGTGAGTCTAAATATACTAGCCTGAGGGACATGGATTTATAATGTGCGCTGATGTGGTGAGTACTTTTGAAGTGAGTTAATCACTTTTAAAAGTGCATGAGGACCATGAATATTATTCATATGAATATTATTCAGTTCTGTCTCTTGAAAATTCCAGACTGAACATTATCTCATGTTGGGTATTAACATAACGTCTTTCACAAAATATAGTTTCTGCTCCATTTAACTTGATTTTTGTATCTATACTAACCATCTTACAATTTTTTTATTTTTAGTAAGTACAAAGACTAGTAGTACAAGTAATTCATTTAAAAAGGCAGCTTGTCTTATGCCTGAAAATATTATACTTTATTGACAACTATCTATATATTGCTGCTTAGTTCAGGGCATAGTTGCAGATCTTTTGTGCTTCATGTCAATAAAGCACATTAATAAGACAGAAGTGAAAGTGAGGTGTTCTGACTTTATGCTAGCCTGCTGAATTTGTTTCCTCTCCTGTGCCATGACAAGATTCAGAATAATTTGGTATTTTACTCTGCTTCTTACCTTATTTTCCTATAACATTTATTTTGTTGACCAGAACATTTTCTAGGTTTTTTTATGTAACATTCTAAAATTGAAATTTACCCTCTACTGAAATAAAAAAAAATCTGAAAGCTTGCAATAGGGAAAGTGCCATTTAGGGTCAAAGTGCTGGTTTTATATTTTTACTTAGTATATGGTATTTTGCTATGTGCATGCATCAATAGAGTCTTCTTTCTTGTTTCAACAATAATAAAAAATCATTACTTTCATGGCAAACAGCTGGACTGGAGCAGGGTTTTTATCCTACAATTCTAATAGCACTGTCCCTGATCATGATCATTTAGAAAAGCTAGATAGAGCTATAAAATAATTATACTGCATATTTAAGGTCATTAAGAACATGTTTTAGAAAAGAGGTTTTGAACCCCTTGTTTAGCAGTATAAAATTCTGAACAAATGTAAAAGCTGCAGTTTTCCAAACTGTTTGCAGCTAAGGTACTTCCACCTTCTTTTATAAAATTGCTTTTAACAACAAGAATGTTGGTAATCGGAGGGAAGTATTATTACTGTAAAACTGCATTTATTGCTTTCAGTATTGCCAGTCTTCTAGTAAGTGGCTGGTTTTAAGTTGGGTCACACCTCTAGTGTTCTTAAATCCTTTGTTCTCCCTAACTCAAAGGGGGACTGCTCCGCGAAAGAGCAGGTTTCAGCACTTTTTCTTTTGTCACAGTTTAGAGTGGCTCACTTAAGCAGCTGTGTGTTGCGTGTAATTTCATAAAGGCAGCTGGCAGGATGTCTCAGCTACTGTAGGTGGACCTGGCTAGGTGAAGAATTTTAAGTTATCCCTCCCTCACAACTGCGAGAAATGGTTCCCCGAAGAGATCTGCTTTGATTAAATTCTACCATATAACTTCTTGTCAAGCCTACAGGAAAAAGAAATGTGTACTTCTGTTGCACTTCTTTAAACTTTGTTCTTAACCTACTGAAGGTTAAATTTTATGCTGGTTTGAAATATACTTATTTTTTTTAAGTCCTTGGAAAAGTAGCTGTTGTAGTTACAAACCCGACATCGAAGCCTTTGTGTTTATGTGCATGACAGTTAAATAAAACCAAATGCATGAGGCTAATTGATGGCTTGGTTAGCAGAGCTATGAGCTTTGCTCTTTCACTTAAGTTAACAGCCATGTCCTTCTTTCAGCTGAAAGCGTGCTTTTCCAGTTCTGTCATGTCTGTTAAAAGCGTATTAAGGAAGAATAGCACATCCTTCTAGTGGTTTCTTAAGGTCAGACATCTGTGGCCTGTTTTATCAATCATTTGTGCACCTTGTTTCTTGTCGTTTCCCTGTGTCCACCCAGTCCTGATTCAGAATGAGCAGAAACTGTTGTCAAGGAGGCTTCAGAAACAAGGTCCCTCAAAGCTGTAATTAGAAGTTCTTGCCTATAATTGGTGACCATGAAGGCCCTGAAAATAAAAAATGCCCTGTTGTTCCAAGATTCATATCTTGTCAGTAGTTGCTCAGGATGTTTTACAGAAAATGTTTGTGTCCTAAGTATATGAAAGTATAAATTTGAAACGGAAAAGGAAGAGATCCTTTGTTATATTTTGAGTTACAATTTTTTTGTTACAAAAGCCAAAAATGTGTGTGTGTGTGCTGTATATTTGGGAGGGTGGAGAGTAGGGGGTACATGTACCGTATGTGTACATATTCATCTATTATATTTGATGTTTAAAGAATTAAGGTTCCGTCATAGTTGGTTAAACACACCATGATGCTAGCAAATTAAAATTAATATGCACTGTAAATTAACTGAGCTCCGGAGCAAATATTGTAGCCAGCAGGAGTGGAAAAGCCGTACTTCATGTGTTTAACCCTTCAGCTGTCCATTACAAGGCAGGTGTGACACTGGGGTTTTATCACAATAAAACCGCCAGACTTTGCAAAAAAAAAAGAAGAATGAATACACTATATAAGCTGTCTGGCAGCCTCAAAGAGCCTCAGTTTTATCTCATGTGGTTTTGGTCACCAGAGCCTTCCAAAGAACTTGAAAAAAAAAAACAACAGGAGGACTGCCTGTGTGGAATAGACAAATGTAAAAATGCATGTGGTCTCTCAGTTTCCACCTCTTATACCATAACCTTTATTCCCCCTAAGAAGGGGTATATTCGGATTTAAAGGATCAGTTGCACATAAGGAGGGTCCAATGTCATATTTTCATTTGTAACCCCTCTAGCTCTTCTAATTACTAGTAACTAATTGATCCAAGAATCTCATCCAGCCATTTTTGGGAAAAAGCGTGGGTGTTAGCTTCAATGGCATGGCTGAATAGATTCTTCCAGGCTTTCGTAACCCTTGTATCAAGAAAGTGTTAGTGTACAGTACAATGGAATTGAGTGCACATAGATTTCACTGTTGATTCTAAAGAAATCCTTTTGATTGACTGTCAAAGATTTTAGTTCTTTTATTGTGTTAAATTAGAATATCTGTACACAATGTTCAAAATGAAGTATTTCCTCAGTTTTCTTATAACATATCTTGTTTTAAATTTGATGATTTTTACTATAATATATCCCTGTGTTAGCCTTTTTTTGTTTCATCGCGTTGTATAGCAATGGCAAATGATGTCAGTGCTAAAACCTAAATCCTTTTAATCTTTTTCAAGCTCAGACTTTAAAATCTGTAGTTTCTGTAACCTGCACTTCTATGCATTAAATATCATCAGCCAGTTCTTTGATTTCTATCAAAATTGTTCAGAAATTTTTGCCTTATTATTTAATATGCAACTTTTCCTTGCCTGAGGCATGTTGTCAGTTTCCTGTGTAATATCTAATACATCAGCCATTTCCCTTGCACCCTTTACTGTTCTAATTTAGATTTAGATTTTTTTTACTCTTGATATTAAGCTGTTCTGTGCTTCAAGCACAATGTTTTGAGAATGTTGCAATTCATTCTGTAATGATTTATCCTATCCCATTTTAGTTCTCCTGAACTCGTCTCATTCCTCTTCTGAAATTCTAAACCTTTGCTTTAGACTCGATATGTACAATTTCAGAGTATACTTCAAAAAAAAATTCCATATTAGGTTCAGTTTCCTAATCATTTTCTTATGGTCTTTGTCACTCTTGTCTTCATTGAAAACATTAGTAAGTTTTGCAAGAAAGCAATTGCTAACCATATCAGCAGCTAAACCAAAGAGGTAGACATCTTTGGGGTTCTTTTTTCTAGTCCATACAAAAAAAGCGGCGCGGTGGCTCTGTGGCTAAGGATCTG